CCGAAAGCTGAATCGCTGTCTGCTCTTGGACCGGCTGCTTTTTGCCTGCGATCCAAAGCAGAGAATCTTAACAGCATGATCATCAGTGTAATGCAGTCGATCTCTCTCTTTCTGTCTGTCACAGGATGGAGATTATTGAAGCGTTCACGCAGCAGACGGACTCCAGACGCTGAGCTGCACAGCTGAATTGTTAACGTGAGATGTTTGTTATCTTGTACACTCACACGTGTGCGTTTATGCAAAGGACAAATAAAAGATCATGCACATAAATCACATGCATTCAAACTCTCAAGTCATGGAAAGATGTCAATGGTATTAACACACACACACACAAAAACATGCTACTTCTTATGGACCTTCTTAGCTCTACAAATGTATAAAACTATCATTTTTCATACAAAATGTAAAAAAAGAAAAATACAAATAAAAAGAGAAGACCAGCCACAGTAAATGACCATAATCAGGTTGAAATAATTAAGCTAAAAATAAACTATTTAAAAAAGTTGCATTAAAGCAAAAGACGATAGTTGCAGTATTATTATTATTATTATTATTATTATTATTGTAACAAAAAACATCTTAAGATTTCTACTTTTTCATTATAAATGTGATGTAAGGGGACTCAGGAACTTCTGGGCAAGTTTTAATATTTTATCTTTTTATTTATCTATTTATTCATGTTTGGAAAAAAAACTCGGTTTGGGATGTGGTCTCTTGGTTTTCATGTTTTTTAGAGAACTGCATTAAAGCAGTTGTAAAACTTTGTAACGTATTGAAATGTGAATTACAAAGACGTCTTTTGGTTTCTTTTTTGATCAAACTTTTGTTTCTAATTTAAATAAAATAAAAGTATTAAAACAAAGGTCTGTCATGTGTTACGTGTATCAAAGAGTGCATCAAAGTGTATCAAAGAGTGTGTCATATACTGAAGATGCCATATGTCTGCATACTGAGATTATTATATTTCACGGCAATGCACCAGACTGTTGAGCCTCCAGACTGGAAAAGACACGAGAAGATCAACAGTTCATCTTCTGACAGTCTGACACGCACATTCACAACGCTGCACGATACGGCTGCAAACACATTATATACATGTTTCTTCATCAGACTTGAAGAAATGTAGCATTGCATCAGTGTCTCAGCAATGGATGCTCTGCAGTGAATGGGTGCCGTCAGAATGAGAGTCCAAACAGCTGATAAAAACATCACAATAATCCACAAGTAATCCACACCACTCCAGTCCATCAGTTAATGTCTTCAGAAGCCAAAAGCTGAGACATATTTTGCTTCTGGCCAAAATATGAGTCCATAATCCATAATAATGCTTACTCCAGTGACAATCACACACCAAATACTTTTTGTGGCCACTGTATGTGGAAAAAGATGAATAAAGCTTTACTGTTTAGATCATATAACACTATATGTTGATATAATGTAAATTAACGTCATTAATGAAAGTTATTATAACTAATAAGTGCAAGGCAAAAGATTTCCAACTTTCCAAAATTCAAAAATGAATCTTAGCTGCTCATGATTAGGCAAATGTCTCAAAACTTCATTCTGCGCTTCATAATTAAAGCATTACATTAATACATCACATACATTATGAAGGGCAATGTATTTTATGCATTTTGGCTCTTTATAAAACGTATAAATATGAAAATAATATAAATATTGTTAGAATTCATACACTACTGGATTAAATTAAATTAGATTTTTTTTAGGTGCCCTTTATGACATTACCATTATGACCTTTCAGATGTAATATTGTATGTAAAGATGCTGGCCTATGCTGACATCGAAGGGATGGACTGCTTGAAGAATCTGAGGATATTAGAGAAATGTAATATCCCTGATTCTCATCATAGGATCAACAATAAAAAATTATGTAGAAATGTACTCCTTTATAACTAAACATCTCAGTCAGGAGCACCTAATTAATAAGCAGAAAACAAGGAAAAAGGCTTATGTAAAAGATTTACACATTAAAATCCATCCTGACATGCATCTATTATGAACATTATAAGGTGTATTAGACTTGTTTCAGTCATGAACAATTCTTTTTTTATTGAATCAGATGGGTGAATAATTCAATGACTCACTCAAAGCCTACAAAAAGACGCTTGTCGCCACCTACTGGAGTAACCTGCAGAAAAGTGTAACGCCACTTTTTTACGACCTCAGAGTCTCCGCCTGGGGGAGGAGCTCTGCCGAGATCACGGAAGAATTACATTTTTGTTCATTGGCCAACATTCGAAGGACGGGCCAATGAGAAAATCTCAACCAATAGCGTGAGCCTGGGGCGGGGTTTGTGCAATCAATTGTGTTTTAAGGGCATGATTAATAGTTAAATGAATGATTTGATATTTGTGTGCTGTGAATACCATTACAGTCAAACCAAGATTTATTCAGACACCTTCAACATTTCTCACATTATCAGTTTATTCGCTATAGTTTAGAAAATGGTAATAAAATATAACAAGAGCTCAGAGTTAAACTGTGTCAGAACAAATTCATCTTGATAATGTCAGACAACTTTGATAGAAAGGTATGTAATGAATTCGGTTGAATAGCTGTCAGCTGTTAAAACAATAATACCAATTTAGCTCAACCAATTACCAAGCAATCTTCATTTTGTTCAGTCTGTGGTGTAAAAAGGTAACATTAGCCATTAAAGAAAAAACACTTACGCAAAGCATGCTCAGGTCAAAGTGTCTGAATATTTTTTGATCCCAAATTTTACTGGAAGTCCACTGTATGAGGAATTGTTGGGTATAATAAAAAACAGTATCATAGCTAATAAAATATTTATTGTTATGATTTTAAATGTATTTAACCTCAGAATGATCTCAAAGTAAGTCTGATTTTGTGGTGGCTGTGCTTCAAAGGAGACACTGATCTTCCACAAGTTGGTATGATTCTTTAGGGTCTTCATGTACGGTCTGCCACATACTTTGGTTAAAATTCCTGAGTGGTCGTGTAAAACAACACCCTTTTTACCTTGCTCTGTTCAGTGGTTGTGTCCACACACTGCTAAGATACATTTATATGCAAACACCATGTAAAAGTGAATTTTGCATCCAATGTCTACTTTAAAAATGAAATATAATCTTAATTCAAGTGATGAAGGATTTCGAAAGTGTGACAGTAATCAGTGTTGAGTACTACTGTAAGGTTTACCCTGCCTGGTTTACATGTTTGAAAATGATAAACAGTTAAAAAAAATAGAAATTTAGAAAAGTAATCAAAAAGTAATCAAATGTAATCAGTTACATTACTTCTATAAAGTAATTGAAAAGTTACACTACTTTTTACATTTTAAGTAGGGTAACTTGTAATCTGTAACCTATTACATTTCCAAAGTAACCTTCCCAACACTAATAATATGTCACAGTTTACTTTATTTTGCTATCCTCGCTTAAATGAACATAAATAAATGTTACGCACATAAATGAACCCTGTTGAAAAAACCAGCATATGCTGGTTAGGTATGTTTTGACGCTGGGATGCTGGTTTAAGCTGGTCCTTTTGCTGGTTTAAGCTGGTCCTTTGCTGGTTTAAGCTGGTCCTTTGCTGGTTTAAGCTGGTCCTTTGCTGGTTTAAGCTGGTCCTTTGCTGGTTTAAGCTGGTCCTTTGCTGGTTTAAGCTGGTCCTTTGCTGGTTTAAGCTGGTCCTTTGCTGGTTTAAGCTGGTCCTTTGCTGGTTTAAGCTGGTCCTTTGCTGGTTTAAGCTGGTCCTTTGCTGGTTTAAGCTGGTCCTTTGCTGGTTTAAGCTGGTCCTTTGCTGGTTTAAGCTGGTCCTTTGCTGGTTTAAGCTGGTCCTTTGCTGGTTTAAGCTGGTCCTTTGCTGGTTTAAGCTGGTCCTTTGCTGGTTTAAGCTGGTCCTTTGCTGGTTTAAGCTGGTCCTTTGCTGGTTTAAGCTGGTCCTTTGCTGGTTTAAGCTGGTCCTTTGCTGGTTTAAGCTGGTCCTTTGCTGGTTTAAGCTGGTCCTTTGCTGGTTTAAGCTGGTCCTTTGCTGGTTTAAGCTGGTCCTTTGCTGGTTTAAGCTGGTCCTTTGCTGGTTTAAGCTGGTCCTTTGCTGGTTTAAGCTGGTCCTTTGCTGGTTTAAGCTGGTCCTTTGCTGGTTTAAGCTGGTCCTTTGCTGGTTTAAGCTGGTCCTTTGCTGGTTTAAGCTGGTCCTTTGCTGGTTTAAGCTGGTCCTTTGCTGGTTTAAGCTGGTCCTTTGCTGGTTTAAGCTGGTCCTTTGCTGGTTTAAGCTGGTCCTTTGCTGGTTTAAGCTGGTCCTTTGCTGGTTTAAGCTGGTCCTTTGCTGGTTTAAGCTGGTCCTTTGCTGGTTTAAGCTGGTCCTTTGCTGGTTTAAGCTGGTCCTTTGCTGGTTTAAGCTGGTCCTTTGCTGGTTTAAGCTGGTCCTTTGCTGGTTTAAGCTGGTCCTTTGCTGGTTTAAGCTGGTCCTTTTGCTGGTTTAAGCTGGTCCTTTTGCTGGTTTAAGCTGGCCCTTTTGCTGGTTTATGCTGGTCCTTTTGCTGGTTCATGCTGGTCCTTTTGCTGGTTCATGCTAGTCCTTTTGCTGGTTTATGCTGGTCCTTTGCCGGCACATGACCAGCTTAAACCAGCGTCCCAGCGTCAAAACATACCTAACCAGCATATGCTGTTTTTTTCAACAGGGTATATAGTGTCCTGCACCCACTAGTAAAATAAAATAATATTGATAATACATTTTAAGTACATATATGTGGCAGTCAAAAGATGTTTTTAAACTTTAGAAAGTGTGTCATATCTACAAAGCTTTCCATTATGAAAGAGTCCGGAAGAGTGTGATCTCTCTCTCTCTCTCAATTCAATTCAATTCAGAAAGTGCTTTATTGGCATGACTGTAAATGATACAATATTGCCAAATCTCTCTCTCTCTCTCTCTCTCTCTCGAGCGTCACGATGTTTAAGTCCCGCCTTTTTCTCTCTCTCTCTCTCTCTCTCTCTCTCTCTCTCTCTCTCATCACGGAGCCAAGCGGAAGAAAAGCTCTGAATCGGTCGTGATATAACCTCAATCAGGAGGAAATACCATTCAAACTCGCCATAGCTGTTGCTTTGTGGAGCCGCTCTCTCCGTTAAACCGATTTTTACCAAGTAGAAAACTTTTTTTTTTGTTTGGGGAGGAGAGATGCGGTTGGTAAACAGTCTGGCCGAGCCGTGAATCCACTAACGGAGCATTAAAAACCAGCGGAGAGAACCGGAGAAGCGAGAGACCGGATCATCACGGTCCGCTGTTTCTGACCGACGACTGAAGTGAGTCTCTCCGTATTACCGTGTGTGTGGCTAACGTTACCGTATTTTGGTGACCAATTTGTAGGCTGTAGTATTTATAACTATCTTATACGCCTAATGTCCGTAATTAGACAGCTAAACGTGTACGAGTGTAAAACAGACATACTGAGGGTCAAGATTTCTGATTAAATGACCCCTAAAGTTCGCTGAAATGTAAGAAAGCTCTCATTTCAAGCACATGCTCTAAAGAAACTATGGCGGGACAATGGGGCTAAATGCCTCATTTCAACAGATAGTTCACCCAAAAATGAAAAATCAATTAGTCACTGACAAGTTGTGCCAAACCTGTATGAATTTCTTTCAGCTGTTGAGCACAAAAGAAGATATTTTGAAGATATATGTTGGTAACCACCAACCAAAGATTGTCCATTGTCTACCATAGTAATGGAAAAAAATACTATGGAAGTCAATGGCTGCCGTCAATTGTTTGGTTTCCAACATTCTTCAACATATCTTCTTCTGTGCTCAACGGCTGAAAGGTTTGGCACAACTTGTCGGTGACTAAATAATGACAGAATTTTCATTTTTGGGTGAACTGTGCCTTTAAGGGAAATGAGATTTCGTATTGGCCCCAAAGTGTATGACTATCAAAGCTCTGTTTATGTTGTATTTAATATTGATGGAGTAACATAATGGAATAGTTAAAGAAGATGGTTTGATTAAAGACCAAATCAATACTGTGTTGAAGCTAAAGGGTGTGGGATCAAAGGTCAGAGGGCAAAAGGCCCTGAGGAACTATAGTGATACTTGATGTATGGGAAGTAATATGACAAATATGGTCACCATATGCAAACACATTTTCATACTTGTTCCAAAGAATCTCAAACATTTTTGTATATGTTTTCGAATAACTCTGACATATTTTAGTGGTTTATATCTTGCAACTGCACTATTTCTACAGGCGTATTTGCTAAATTTAATCAGTCAGTGTGAGCTCACTTTCACATTCTTCACAGCCAATCCATCTCGCTCACTTATGGAAAACATTGCACTGCGCACTAAAGGCATTCAGCATCCTCCTCTTCTGCCAGACTTGCAGTCTTTTGGTGACATTTTTAGCCAGCGTGTGCCTTTTAATTGGGGTGTCATTACTCTCTATATCAAGAATGCATTTTAAAACCATAACAAGTCTTCTGTCTCAAAATCAACAGGTGTTTAGAAAAGTTCTGTGATGGTGTTTGCTATTTAGTTTTATTATTGTTTGTGGGAGACAATTAAATAAAAAGGGCATTTTACTACCTTTATGTGAACTTTACAGTTAAAATACTTATTCCTAATTAAAATAATTAACTGTTTTTAATAGTAGAGTTTATAAAGTAATTAAGAACAGTAGAATTCAGTGGGAATCCCAGTTTAGACAGCCAGATAGACGTGTGCATTTGTGTCCATTCAGCTGGATCGTATGATGAACCACAGTTCAAGAGTCCATGTGCTATCCTTTCGTCAGCCCTTTCTGCTATGAAACATTTACCCAACATTTTCACTTCATTGCACTGCGCACACATTTGCGCTGAGATTTCATCTTAAATTGGAGCTTTCCCAAAATAGAAAGCCTTGAAGATGACACACTAACACGAGACATCAGTACAGGTGAGTGAGTCCACTAGAACCATGTGTGGAAGATTTGACTAAACCATCAGCTAAAGAACAGCAGGACACACTTCTGCTCTTACCTTTGACTTCATTAGAATCAGTCAGGTTTCAGACAAATACAGCAGAGGAAGACCGGGGCAAGTTGTCACACTATACTCCAGTGAATAATTCATTATTGTTAATCGTCCCTCAATTGTAGGGAATGTTTTCACAGTGAGAACTTGCCTTTAAACTGCACTGTAAAAAAAATCCATAAAATTTACGGTAAAAAAATGGCAGCTGTGGTTGCCAGAATTTTACCGTAAAAAATATGGTAGCAACATTTTAGGTTTTACTGTTTTAATTTAAATTTACAGTTAAATACCGTAATTTCATTAACTGATATAATGTACTGAAATAATGCAATAAACATTCATTTAACAACATTAGGTGTAACACACAACCCTAATATACAAAACTGATAAGAAAAAAACTTGAGAAGAAACAGTTATTTAAACAAAAAAACATCAAATTTGAAATGTAACGCAGGGAATTCTGGGAATGTCAATTTACGGTTATTCACTGTAAATTATACTGTCTTTTTCACTTCCAAAAACGGTATACTACCGTAAAATTAATGTCCGATACATGTAATGTCCGATACAGTTTTTCACCGTATATAGTAGGGGAATTTACCGTTAACCATTTAACAGGTTTTTACTGTAGCATTTTTACAGTCTTTTACCGTTAAATTCACAGTCATTTTTTACAGTGTGGATATTAGAGGCTTTCAGCAAAATTTATAGTGTGAAAATCATGTAATAGCAAAAATCTTCCCCATTCACAAGCTCTCAATATGATAAACACTTATGTCTAGGTTATTACTATTAAACCATGCAGTGGGAATCTCCATGCCAGAGCTGTTAAACTTCAGCTCTGAATCATTTGGCTCAAATATTTTCCATTTCCAAGCATAATATGATCTATAAAACATTTGCGAAGCTCTAAAATGAATTTGCAGTCGCTCTGCACTGAGTCTGATTTTAATACCCAAATGAACCCGACAGCAATGCAAAATCAGTAAATCACACCCCTAATGTTCCATCTGCATGATGGGGTGTGTGAGGACATCTGCTGTTAGATGCTCAGGTGTGTTTAACACGTTTTCCCACATCCAGTGATCTGTAATGCTGCCCAAACTTTCCATTCCAAACCTCTGGTTTCATGATTTATTGTTTGAAGTAAATGATTTGTGTGTGTTATCAGCATGATCACTTCAACCACCACCTGACATGAATAGGCCTGTCGCAATAATCAATATATCGACTTATTGCGCAATATATGTACATGACCTCAATACGTTTTGGTGACGCAATATATCGCCCATTATATTTACTAAAAAATTAATGTCACCATGTTTTGTACATTCCACTTGCGCCTGTGTCTTCTGCAGCTTCTCGTACATAACGTGGTGCAGTCATGAGGTGCTAGTTCAAATTTAAAAAATGCTTCTACAAACAAAGTTTCATCTGCAGGTTTGGTCTTGTTTAGGGATCTGTGCCTTTGTGCATACGGACATCTGACTGCTGAGTAGTGATTGTGTTTTTCAGCAATAGTGTGCACCCTTAATTTACTGAGAAAAGAAGGTCAGGGAAAAATCTGTAGATGGAAAAATCTCCATACAAGTTTTTTGTGCATTTTTATTTTTTTCTACTTGTTACTTTGCACTGTTTGTTAGGAAATGTTTATTTACTATTTATTCAGGTTTTTTAAGGTATCTAATATTTTGATACTTAAATTCCATGATCTAAATATTCTTCAAAATGAAAAGTTTGTTGTCATTTGGAAGTGTGTAGGCCTTCTTGCAGTATTATGCTGTTATATTATGATTATATATTCAGTGGCATAAAATGGTCTTTAAAATGAAAATAATATCGCTTATCACAATTATTTCTGGGGCAATATATCGCACAACAAAAAGTTGTTATCGTGACAGGCCTAGACATGAAGTCTGATTCAATTACAGGAGAGTTCAATAAGAGTTCTGTTCAATCTGTGTAGTGTTGTTGTTAATCTGAAGTAATTAAACTAGGGCCACAGTCACACTTTTTAAAAAAATATAATACATACAAAAGGTAAAAATATTCAGTCTACTCCACTCCAATGCTACAAACCTGCAGATTTCAAATTTGCATTATTATAATTCAGAGGTCATGACGTGATGCATCAGTCTCCGTGATATGAATTCACAGATCAGAGTTCAGCACATTTTAACTTTGAAAAGCAATGAAATTCACACGATTTTGTGTTTCCTGTTTCCTGCATTCACATGCGAATGAATGGAAGTCAGTGGAACAAAAAGTGTAGAGTGACTGTCCCTTTACTCTTCAGAAAAATCAATTCCCTAAAGAGAATTTTTGTTAATGTATGTTTTTTAAGTATAGAACTGTCACGTCACAATTTACATAATTCACCTATTTTGTTTTTTACAATTCACCTTTTTAAAATTAACTGGAATGTCAGTTAGGGTGACATCATTAAACTTTATATCATCTAAGTATATTAGTATGTTATCCAAGTTCAAAGTACAAAAAGGTCATAATTTTATAATTATAAAATTGTATGTAAATGAGTCAAAACATAGTGATAAAATTGAGTATATTAACTGTTTCTTTACAAAAAAAGACCAATGTAAAAGCAATGCCACGCAGGCCCTCAATGATTTTTTTTTAGTCTGTGTCATTGTCATGATTTGTGTGAATGAACCAATTTGCTAAAATGGATCAGACTTCTGAGTTCTACTTAAAATCGAGCAGGAGGGCATTAAAGCAGTGTGTGTTTGTTGATTATTAAATCGCCGCGACTGACCCAGTGTGGCTATTTGCACTTCATTACAAAGCTATATTATCATGAAGACATCTAAACTAATGTCACATTACTGAAAAAGGGAGTTCCTTTTAGTTGGTTACACTCAACACTGAAACTATGACGCCGTCGATTACCACAGAAAATGACTCGTTGTGCAAAACAAATAACCGTTGATAATTAAAATGTTAAAATACAACCACAAAATATTAGACATGAGACTGCTGTAACAGAATCTCTTATCAGCACTGCCTGTGCAAAGTCATATTCCACTCTTCCATGTAAAATGTGGTTTATGTAAAATATACTAAGAAAAAGTGGTAGTTGACACTCGACAGCATGCTCTAATTAACTGTGGTCAAATTTGGTTTGTCTCCTCAGAACTGGAATTAGAACTCTATGACACAGGATCCTTGCAGACTAGAATTAGACATCAATGATTTAATTGATTGACTCTGCAGGGAAATAAGTATACAGACACACTGGTGTTGGTTCAGCTGCATAAACAGACGTATCATCAGCAG